CAATGGACCCCGGACTAGGTGCGTTCCAATAAGTCTTCCTACCAATACGACCATGTTGCGAAAACAAGGTTAAACAACCTCTATACACTGTATTACCTGGGTTTGAGTCCCGCTGGGGCTGCCGATGAGAAAGTTAAAGACGAGGTCTAAACTGCAGTATATTTCTACCTTGAAGAGAATATCTTTGGCGCAGCAAGGCTATGCGAAATTCAATGGAGACATGAGGTATACTCAGTTGATTGTGGGAAAATTCAGCTATCAGTCCTTCATCATCTTAAATGAAATTGGGTGAACATGGTTCTTATTAATAATATATCTTTTCTCTGGTTTTAGTCTATTAGTACGCTGTTTTGTAAAGTGTGGGTTATTGCTCTGATGATGCATCATAGTAAAATTCAAAGCTAGGCACATATTCTTCGAAGTGGCAGAATGGGGAGCTAAGGATTTCTTAGCACAATCCTATAGTCTTCATTCAGATATAATCTTCCTTCGGTTTCCAGTGCGACGAATTTATTAATTTCTTCCTATCTACTTTTACTATGAAATAGATAGTCCTATCACAATAGAGAAGATTTGTAGATTTAGATCTTTTATTGCACCTTTAAAGATGATAGTGGTGATTTTATTAGAATAAAATGAGTATACTTCATGATTATATTAAATTAATTCTAGCCTTGCCTTTCAATAAAAGCCTTGCCTTAGTCTCATCAGCGCCTTCTCCACCGACAGTTCCTAACTCACCTTAAGCAAATAAGGATGACTGTTGGTTTCAAAAGATACTCATATTGAAAATGATGAAGGAGTTTGTCAAATGGATGGTAATTTATAATTAAGAAGGAATGTTATTGGATCCGGTTCCTCGAAATGTTTCCGAATTGCGAACAAGGGATTGAAAGTACCGATAAACAGACAACGTAATTAATTCAGAATACACTAGTGACCTTCGTAACTGTCTGTCTGGTGGCAATAAAAAAAAAGTACAGACTCTTAAAACTGCCAAGCTGGCCAGACTCTAGCAAGAATCACCTTTAGCATTTGCACCCGCCGCTGGCATTTCATTCTTCGTCGTCGTCGTCACCGACGATGTGGCTGCCCCCGACGCAGTCGCAGTTCCAGGAGAATCCGCCATTGATTTGGCTTTCGTCCCTGGAACCTTCTCTTCAGAGCCGCCGGCGTTCGTTGTCATCGTCGTTGGGGCGACGACTGCATTTGCACTTGCCAATGTCTGGCCTTCTTGACCAAGACTGCCGTTGATGGTACTCGGACGACCCAAGTTAGGCATTGAGTGTCGCGCAAGATGCGAGTCCTGTTGCGTCTGTGGTTCGACGGCCGCGGAACCGAGCGTCGGGGGGCCGCTGGTGCCGGTGGTTATCATAAAATTGTTCCAGGGCCCGGGTAGCATTAGTTCTCGGACCGAACTAAATGAAAATGGCAGAAAGATGGCGATCGGTTGCCGAAATGGGACTGGCGCGTAGACAAGGAAAATGCAACTGCTCAGTCTCAAGTTCGGTCCTAGCCATGGCGTGACAGAGCCTCTGAGGATGCTGGGAAGAGTGGAGCAGACGAGGCGTTCTTTTCGACCTGACGACGCATTTGGTGGTATGTCGATTTTGACGCCTGCTGGCGAAATAAAGACTCCGCCGTTCTTCTTGACCGGTACATCAGGACGCAGATTGGGAAGACTGAATGGAAACAAGCAGCAGAAGACAGAATGAGAGAATGAGCCAATGAAGCTAGTTGTTTATCAACTGTCGAAGGGTTTCCTTCACTTCAGGGTCGACCATTTGTCCCTTACTGAAAGAATATCAGGTTTTTTGGAGAGTGACGATGATTCTTTATGGGGTGAAGTTAAGAAAAGACTAGGTCTTTAGTTGACATACCCTTCAATACGCCTAAAAAAAGTTCAATCGAATCAGGGCTAGACTACAGTCTCAATTCCGCTTAGGTCTAATCAGAATGCCAAAATTGATTCGAAACCGGAGAGTGAGCGTCAACTGGTAATATTTCACCAATTGGCCATATATCCATCGATGCCTGTTGGTCATGAGGCAGATGTGGCATTCAAGCCTAGATAATGCCATGCGGTATCCGGGTTCGAGTCCCACTGCGGGTGCTGAATTGTGATGTAGAAAAGGACTAGACTTTCTTAAAAATCAATCTTATTCCATGGTCGAAGTGAAATTGCACCATTTTGGATTAGTGATTAATGTGGTGAGATTATACGCTGCACTAAAGCAATTGAGATTCGAGTCCCGCTCGTGGTGATGATAAGCCCAGTTCAGGAGAAGTTGCAATTGCAGTCCACTTCCGCATGGATGAGAAAACTTCTTTGGAAGTAAAACTATTGGAAATGTAAGGGAAAAGTTAGGTCTACTCCTATGATTAAGGGAAAATTTAACTACCAGTCATTGATAATCTTAAACGAAAGAGGGTAAACAAGCTCTTAGATTTATTTTACTCATAATGGTAGCTTTTTAATCCCTTGGATGTATCTAATTAAACCGTATGTGTAGTTTTTGATGAATCTCCTGATGCACATTGCTAAACTGCCTTTTATTTTATTTTTTAATGCTGAATGAAAATATTTGTACAAGCCTTATAGATCTCAATCTCAACTAGAACTATTATTCACGTTTTTCTGTTAGTCTTGAAAATATACTTTCCCTGAATATAAATGATGTAGTCGATTGTGATAGCAAACTGCAAGTTTTTTCTTCCAAATACAAAAAAAATATTCTTAATTAAGGTATGAAGACCAAGCTGATGTGGTCTTTTGTATGATCGCAGTCTCCTTTCGTTGTATAGAAGTTATTTGACCTTGTTTTCGCAACTTTGTCAAATTGGCAGGAAGACTTAAAGAAATGCACCTAGCCCGGAGTTTATTGTATGCACGGGAACCTCCAAAGTCGGGCTGTGGACGGGGTACCTTCCCAGACGTTTCGCCGGCATCGTCACTAAGCCTTGCCAGTCATAGAACCACACTACAACTCGTCAAAAGAGTCAAGGGA